ATACATAGAATGAATGACAGAATGTGTGGGTAAAGGGATAAGTACTTGGAAGATACACAAAATCTAAGCCAGAAGACCTTGGTTCAATACTAACTGAGTCACATTGAGCCATTTATTTAAGCTCTTTGGATCTCAGCTTTCTTTCTATAAAATTAGGGAAAATAATAAGACAATTCCTGATAAAGCTATTATGAAGATCAATTTGAATGTCATATGAATGTATTATGTTTTTAAAATGTTAGATGTTATTATATGTAAATACATTTTATTAAAACCAAATACTTTGGTTCATTCTAAATACAGTGAATAAGGAAATAAATTGCTAGTTCACTTTGGGTGGTAACCAATTTGGCTGTGCACAGAGTAAATCATCCCTGACCATAATCAGATGATTATAACAAAGAGAAACGTTGCTACTTTCTATGAACCCCCTGATGGGGGGGACCACAAATTAATCATCTTAGTATCTAGACAGTGCTTCCCATGTTGCGTGTGCTTGGTAAATGTTAGTTGAATGAAAGGCTAAAGGAATGCATGAATCGAGGAAGGCAGGGAGGAGAGAGGAAGAGGATGTGCAACTGAAATTAATATCAACTTTAGTAAGGCTTTTACTTCTGCCCCTGTGGCTTTTTCGACATGATGTGTTAGGTGGTAGGACAGCTGGTCCAAGGGCCCTGACTGGAAGGGAGTGATCAATGACGGGTTAGATGTACTGCACTCTTGCTGGAAGGGTCTTTCCCAGGGTCACTGTTATCTGGCATCCATCAGGGGCAGGGATGATGGAAAGCAGGTACTGATTTGAGCAGAGTTGTTAACACTTTGAAAGATAGTGATGAGAATTCAAAGTGACCTTGATAAATGGGACAAAATGGTCCTTCCAAAACTGGATGGAGCTATGGAGACAGAAATGAATGACCTTGGTGGAAAAAATGGGCAGGTGCAGGAGGAGGCATAATTGCTGAGGCCCCAAGTCCACAGTAAAAGCACCCGGCACTGCAGGCTGGACATCACGATAATGATTTCCCTCCCATTTGAACAATGTTTCAGAGCTGAGTGATGGCAGAACCCTGGGAGATAGGTCTTCTCCTTATCCCCTCTTTACAGATGGGAGGACCGTTAACATTCTGCAGTTGATAACCATAAAGCTGGGAATGATAAACATATGGTAATAATACACACCAGCATAGTATAGCTGTAACAGGTAGCATTTTTGAACTCTTACTCGATGTCAGGCACTGAGCCACATGCTCACATAGATTGCTTCATTTCACATTCCCAATAACCCTATGATGAAGTATGTACTGTCATTGTCTTATCTAGAAGAAGAAACTGAGGCATGGAGAGGTAAACTCATTTGCCTGGGGGTCACATGGCTGAAAAAGGATGGGGATAGGACTCGAATCAGGCAATCTGAATAAAGTCACTTGTTCCTCACAACCACTCTATGAGATAAATGACAATATTTCCAGCTTGCAGGTGAGGAAATGGAGACTTAAAATGATTTAAGCCCCAAACTATACTGATTTCTGTAGAAGGTAGAGAGCTGTCAGTCACAGCCCTTGAGGAAATGTTAGAATTTCATTGAAGTCTAACATCACCCCCCCAACATCCAAGACTTCACTTGATTTTTGATGCATGGTTTCATGCTGTCTTTGGGGGAGAAACATTTGATCTAAAGGACACATTAGAAGAAAACAGCCCTGTGTGTCCGCTGGGACAAACCCAGAGAGGATGTGAGGCAAACCCAAGGACAAAAGATTCCCCCAGAGCAAATGAGTGATATGTTCACTTAAATCATTCCATACCAAGCTCAGCCCTTTGAGAGCACAAATGTACACCACACAGGATGTCTCTTAGAAACAAGCACTTAATAGAATATAAATTAATGTCATATAGATCAAAGATCTATAGAGAGAGAAAGACAGCGATGGAGAGGAAAGAGAAAAAGGAGATAGAGAGAGAGAGAGAGAGAGAGACAGAAAGGGATAGAGACAGAGAAAGTACCTAGAAAGAAAGGGAGTGAGACAGAGGATTAGAAGGAGAAAGAGAAAGAGAGAAAACTAGCCAAACATCAATCATGGAGCAAGGGTGTGCGTGATTCTATTTGTCAAGGGAAAGAAGGTAGATGTTTTTGTTCTTTGTAGGTTAATATGTAAATGACATTCTGATTTATTAGCAGTCTCCAGCAGATGAGGTGATGATTAGCACATTTCCATATTTATAGAAAAGCAACACTAACTTTCTGGATTTATAGAAAATCAGCTCTTCACAAATAGCAAATTGTGCTATTATCGACATATGGTTTTCTATAAACAGAGCTGAGGTAATTATCCCTGGGACAATTTGTTGGTGGGCTCCTTTTGAATATTAATCACATGGAAGCCCATCTCCACCTCACCAGATACCCCAGGCAATTGATTAGTAATCCAACATCAAAGATGAGAACCCAAATGAAAGGCCATGCCACAACCTCATGGTGGAAGGCCAGAGGTCCAAGGTTCTGACCCCATATTTCTGCAGCTCTGGGCAAAGTTATTAACCTCTCCAATGAGCTGGATCATTTGTATGGCTAAAGCTGGGATAACACCAGTCACCAAATGTTGTCAAGAAAATTTTTTTTTTTTTTCTGAGTTGGAGTCTCACTCTGTCACCCAGACTGGAGCGGCCACTGCAGCCTCGACCTGCTGGACTCCAGCGATCCTTCCACCTCAGCCTTCCGAGTAGCTGGAACTACAGGCATGCACTACCACGCCCGGCTGATTTATTTATTGTAGAGATGAGGTCTCGCCAAGTTGCCCAGGTGGGTCTCGAAAATTAAATGAGACTGTGTGTAATAGCACGTGAAACCTAGTAGGTGCTCAAAAAATGTGAACTTTTTTCTTCCTCATGTTTTTGAATGATTCTAAAAAGACACACTTGAAAAAGTTTTATAAACTCTCTTTCTCTCTTTTTTTTTCAAGTCTAGGTCTCACTTTGGTGCCCAGGCTGGAATGTAGTGACACAATCATGGCTCATAGCAACCTCAACCTTCTGGGCTCAGGCAATCCTTCTGGGCTCATACAATCCTTCTGCCTCAGGCTTGCAAGTAACTGTTATTATAGGCACATGCCACCAGACCCATCTAATTTTTTGATTTTTTGTAGAGATGAGGTCTCATTATGTTGCTTAGGCTGGTCTAGAAATACAGGGCTCTAGCAATCCTCCAACCTCAGCCTCACCTGGGATTACAGGCATGAGTCACCATGTCCAGCCTAAAACTCTTTTTTTACATTGATCCCTAGGAAGCTGTTTATTTTATATTATGATCCAGTACACATATACATATCTTTATTTAACTGGCAAAAGTTTCTTGAAGAAATAACTTATTTCAGTGTCTATAATACACTTTGATATTTTCTATCATGTCCTTTGTTGCTGTTCAAAATTTTGCTTGTGATTCATACATTGACTTTGAGATCTACTATTAGGTTGTGACCTGTAGTTTGAAAAATACTGTGATACAAGAGGGTAGGGAGCATTCTTAGATTTGTTTACTATTGTTTCCCTACCACAAACATACAATGGATGTTCAAAAGAGCATCTTGAATTATTAAAAATAAATAGATAAATAGAGGGATGAGTTAATGAATTATCCCAGCCAAGAATCTGAATTAATGTTCCCTCTCAAACTTCCTGTCCATTTTGCACACTCACTATGTATTAAGCCCTGTGTTGAGTGCTAAATAGATAGAAAGTGCCAGGCATGATACTTGCTTTCAAAGATTTTGTTATCTAGATGAAGAGAAAAATATTAACATTTGGAAAAATTGCTTTTAAGAGAATAAGTGAAATTCACATGTATATCTTGAAGAAAAGGAGTGGCCAGCTGGGCTGGTTCCCTCAGGGAAACTTGCTGAAACTGGAAATTTGAACTTGACTTTGCAACGTGGATAGATCTCGCATCCCCCACTGATTCATTGACTAGATCAGTGGTTCTCAATGTGGTGAACATCAGAATAACCTGGAGGGCTTGTTAAAACAGACTGCTGGGCCCTCTCCTGGTTTTTTATTTAGTAAGATTTAGGATGAGGGCCTGAGAATGTACATTTTTAACAAGTTCCCAGGTGTCATTTTTGCTGCCAATTGGGCCCACACTTTGAGAATCACCATCCTCCTAGGTTGGAATGAGATCATGAAGGTTGCTAATGCCATGCCAAGGAGTTTAAACCTTATTCTTAGTCACTCACGACATGAAGCAAGAAAGTGATATCATCAGAAGTGTGAAGTGGAAAGATCTATCTGGCAGCAATTGTCAAGAATGGATTGGAAGGGGTGCTATTATGACATATGGTTTTCTATAAACAGAGCTGAAGTAATTATCCCTGGGACAATTTGTTGGTGGGCTCCTTTTGAATATTAATCACATGGAAGCCCATCTCTACCTCACCAGATACCCCAGGCAATTGATTAGTAATCCAACATCAAAGATGAGAACCCAAATCCCCAGAGACCATTTAGGAGCCCATGCAGTAATAAGTGAAAAATGAGAGCCCAGTCCACCTCTGTAGGATGGAGATGAAGAAGTAGGGATGAATGAGAGAGAACTGAAGTACATTAGAGATCTATGGGTTAAAGGAGGAGAAAGAATCTGAGGTGCCTGTAAGTTTTTAGTTTCACTGACTGGCTGCATGGTAGCTCCATTAGCCAAGAATCTACATTTAAAACAAGCTCATGTTTTGAATAACAAAATCCCCCAAATTCTGTTTTTAGAGAGCTATAATATAACAGGAAGCACGTTGTTTTAAGAAGCTAGACAAATCTGAGATCAATCCTGTTTGGTGCTTATTAATAAGTCATTTCACCCTTCTGAACCTCAATTTCCCCAAAATAATAATACTTATGCTACCGTATAGAGAGGTCACGAAAACCAGATCAGCCAAATCAATGCTTAGAAGACTGCAAAGCATGCCCTGGTATCTGTGTTGACCACTGTGTGTGCATAAAGCTTCTTCTATACTCACCAAGAGATTTCATTTTTTCTTTGTCAATCACCAGGATATATTCATAAGTGCCACCCATGGCTCCAGATGTGATGTAATGGGTGCCATAGTCATTGATGAACTTGGCATACATGCCATAATTGAATTGCTCTGGAAGTTCCTTTAATGATTGCAGCATTCCTTCATCCAGCACAATGTTGTCCCTCCTCATCTTAAAATGGGCAGTCTGCACCTTTGTGAAAATTCTCATGAAGATGTATTTCTGCCAACAACCACCATAGAATGAGACAAAAGAACAAATGGCACATACATTTTACCATAGGAAATAATGCAAAAGGTCAGCTTTTAGTAGTTGTGAGAAATACATACACACACATAAATACATGTAGAGAGTGGCCAAAAAAGTATACACATTTTAAGAAAGGAAAAAGACTGTATTAAGATCGTAATACTGTCCTGCCTACTGCATGGTGACACTAGCATTCATTTAATTAATGCCATTTTTTGAGCAAATATCATAATACACATTGCTACCATAATTCAATTTGACTTTGAAAAGTAATACATAGATAACATCTCTTAAAATTTATATACATTTTTTGGCACCCCCCAGTATATTGGAGTATTACTATATTTTTCAAGCATATGAAGGGGGACCCAACAAAACTGGAATTATATATCTTGGAGGACAGGCCCCTTGTAGTACAGGCTTTTCCTGCTAGGTGATTGTTCTAGGAACCCACTGGCAACAGTGGACCACCTAGGATTGCTGTGAAAGGCAGCATTCAGCTTCGTTGAATTTCTTTTGGAGATTCTTTCCATGCTTTTGCCCATCTCATGATGGGTGATTTATGAGTGTATCTGCCCACACTGCATTGAGTGTTCAGCAATTTTTGACCAAAAATAGCATGACCCCAGAGCCCCACCCTCCCTATTCACTCAGTCTCTCCCTGAGCAACTTTTTTCTGTTTGTTTCACTAGATGAAAGGGTTCTCAAAGAGAAACATTTTGCCAATGTGGAAGAGGTGAAACAAAAAATGGCAGGAGCACTAAAAAGCATCAAAATTGTCAAGTTCAAAAACTGTTTTGAGCAGAGAAAAAAACATGTCAATAGGTGTATTTCATCAAATAGAGAGTACTTTGAAAGTAACAAGTTTAAACATGTAAGAATAAATACACAATTTTTTATACATAAATTCAGGGTTTTGGGGTCTCCTTCATATATTCAGCACCAGTGTGTGCTGGACTTCTCCTATACTTCCATATCTGTTTCCACTGCCCCTGCCCAGGTCAAGTTCTCATCCTCTCACCTGGACCAGCTGGGGTGGCTCACGTCTGTAATCCCAGCACTTTGGGAGACAGAGGCAAGGGGATTTCCTGAACCCAGAGGTTTGAGACCAGCCTGGGCAACTTGGCAAGATCGCATCTCTACAAAACAATTTTAAAAAATTAGTCCGGTGTCGTGGTACATGCCTGTAGTTCCAGCTACCTGGAAGGCTGAGGTGGAAGAATTGTCTGAGCACAGCCAGTCAAGGCTATGGTGGCCATGAACATTCCACTACACTCCAGCCTGACCTGGGTGACAGAGTGAGACTTCGACTCAAAAACCAAACCAAACCAAACAAAAAAGCCTCTCATCTGGGTTAGTTACTACAGCGGCCTCTTCATTGGGCAGCACCGCTCTGTTCTGCCCCTAGCCCCTACTCTCCTCCACACTGCCCCCAGCTCTAATCAAAGCATCATATCGGGCCATCTCCTATGCAAATATTTGTTTCCATTAAAAACTATGCTTAGGATGTCTTTGATGACATGGTGAAGTGCCATTTAATTTAATTTATTGAAAAAGATCTATGGTGCCTATAGTTACATGCACTGTGCTAGGTGGGTGCAGAGGATATGATCTTGAATGAGATAGGCCACTCAGTACAAGATTACTCAGTCCAATGGTAATCTTGTACTGAGTAATAAAGGAAAGCAAGATCCTCATATAATAAACAAGAGATAGCAACAGGGGAATGTTGGATTGGTTTTACTTAAAGGTGGCCATCTATGGGTATTACTTCTGAATAATAGAAACCTTGATTCAAAGTGATAATGAAAGTTTGAAGAGACCACCTGCTTTTAGAAAAGTTTATATTAAGATGCTACAGATAGACCTTAAAACAAGACAGTGCTTGACCTTCAGATCAATCAATAGTGAATTCATTGGCAAAGCTCTAGAATACAATTTATGTTTTGTTAAATAAGTTAATTTTATAATCGTTTTTTTGTCGTTCAAGGCAATTTTTTTTTGAGTCGGAGTCTCACTGTGTTGCCCAGGCTGGAGTGCAGTGGCATGTTCACGGCCACTGCAGCCTCAACCCGCTGGGCTCAGATGATCCTTCTGCCTCAGCCTTCCAAGTAGCTGGAACTACAGGTACACACCACCACATCCGGCTACTTAAAAAAAAAAAAATTATTGTAGAGATGAGGTCTTGCCAATTGCCCAGCTGGTCTCGAACCCATGGACTCCGGCAATCCTCTCATCTTGGCCTCCCAAAGTGCTGGGATTACAGGCATGAGCCAACATGCCCAGCCTTAAGGTAATTTTTGAACCCCAACTAGAGCCACGGTCTTGGTATCAATGTTGTTGTGGCTTTCTGGTAAGGTTCTAATTAATTCAGCAGATATTTCTCTGCCCCCTAATGGCCTCTCTAACCTCATCACTCCCTACTTTCTTTTCCCTCCCTGTGCTTCAGCAGCTGAAGCACTCCCAATCCCTAGTCTGCACATTCCATGCCTAGGACACCCTGCGGCCAGCTGCTGTCTCCCTGTGTCTGGACAACTTGTACTAGTCTTTAGGCTTAGCTTAGACAGGTTCCTTCCTCAAGGAAGCATTTTTGGATGTCCTGGGGTAATAGGTGCGATTTAATGGATAAATGAAAGCTTTTTTGAGCATGTCAGCCCTCCTAACTTTTTGGAAAAGCAAGACTTGCTTTAAACTTCTTCCAAGTCAAAAGTAAAGGGCCTGGCTGTTTCTCTGTAACACATTTCCATTCTATACATTTCCCTACATGCTCCAAGTAACCATGAAAAGGATGGGTTGGGGAGGAGAAGTGATAAGAGTCTCAGCCTTATCATTCAATCTTATTCCCTTTGTGATGATTCTGTGTGCAAAAGCGTAATAAGAAAAACAAACCTGATTACCACTGATCAGACATTTCCAATTACACAAGCAAATTAAGGTTCAATTACTACTGTACTTTTTAATGCAATTAAGGTAATACGTGTTCAGTGTAGATTATGGAAGACTGTGAGACACAGACATTATGTGCTAATACCTTGTCATTATACTTGTTCAACTCATTCAAGAATGAAGAATCTTTTGACTCAGATACACCTACACCCACTAACAGAGGGCTTCTTGCTGGTCCTATGCCAATGGTCACTCCAACTGACCTAGACTTGTCATTTTTTACTTTAGAAAGAAGGTCATTTGCATTATCGTATAACTCTGAGGAGACTCCAGTGTCTGCCAGGGCCTGAAAAAAAACCAAACAAAAAGATGTTAGCTTTTTGCATACAGAGCTGTTTTTCAATTCATATTTAGTACTTAAATCTTTGCTTTGTAAAATATCTAAAGTTTTAGATTATCGTAAGTAATCCTTTTATAAAGCTAATCCAGGCATTGGACTGATACTAAAATATAGAAAATATAGTAGTGTTAGTGTTTGGGGCTCAAACATTTATTTATACGTGACATGTGCACACACACAGAAATGATTCTGATCAAATGCTATATTGTTCAGAGCATGAAGTTTTTTCTGTCTGGCTTATCCTCCCTGAAGAGGCGGCCATGCACTTGTCTTTGAAATGGTGAGGCACAGAAAGCTATGTCTAGGCATGGACCTGAGAGGAAAGGGGCAAAGAAAGATGGGCAGGTTTTGATTGTCCTGGGCAGTGTATGCTTTAGCGCTGCCCACAAACGTTTGTTATTTCATTCCAGACCCACCATAGGGTTGCATTTCTCTGCCGACTTCAACTGAGGCATGGTCTTGGGCCTTGCTTGGGCCAGTGAAACACGCCTTAAGATAGACTGCTCTGCAATTATGAGAGCCTGTGTTGTAACAGAGCCTCTATTACTCTGATTCCCTGGATGTCTGTGATCATCAGTTTCCTTTCTATCTTAGGATGGACAAGTAGCATAAATAAGGCATCATGGCTTCCAGTCACTGAGATTTCAGAATTATTTGTTCCTATAGCATAGCCTAGTCTATCTGGCTCTAGACCTTCCTCGAGGTTAGGAACACGGCATTGCCTATGTCTTCCAACCTGGTTTACCATTGGCCTGTATGGGGTAGAAGTGGACATGGGGTTGGAGGAAGCAAACTTCTAAAAAAACAGACCCCAAATGCCTGGCTGTACTTTATGTCAATACTTTTCTCTTGAGAGAAACTTAGGGGAGGGGAGGATGAGGCTAGATGATTGTTCAGAATCCTGGGATACCACCATGTCTCTCTCTAGATATAATGTGTATGAGTATATAGATATAATATATATAATCTTCCCAATCTTCTAAATGATGGATAGCCTGAGCTTAGTTCAGACAAATCTGGGTTTGAATCTTGTCTCTGCCACCTACTACAGTATAGTTTGGGCCGGACACTTGATCCTTTTATGTCCTATTTTTAAAATGTCTAAAGTGGGACAATGATAATATCTATCCCATTGTGTTGTGAGGATTAAATGGACATAAAAGTGCCATGAGCAGGCTCGAAACTGAACATGAGCTACATGGTATTCCCAGTGACCAGAAACCCACAGAATCTCAGAGATGGAGAGAGTCTTAAGGATCAACAAAAATTTGCAAGCACTTTTGAAAGAAGAACTTTTTCTTCACATAAAACTATATACAAAAAGCCAAAATATGGAAATAATCAGTGTTAGCTGCCCTTGGTAAAGTAGGGACATAGGTCTAAGAGCCCTGCCTATCTATGCCTTGTCCTCCCCACACCCCCCCCCCACTTTACAGATTTAAAAATTGGGTCTAGGGAGGGGGAAGCAAGTCAGTTGCTCAAAGTCTTAGATAGTTAATACCCAATAAACTTGGAAATAGGTCTTCTGATTGGCAGCTCAGAGAATAGGGCCCCAAATCCTATTTTATTGATTTTGGAACGGAGCCAAGATTTAACAGACAAGTGGCCACATTTATGATTTGCTTCTCATTGGCTCTCAGCACCCTTCACCACTGAGTGTATGCAGGTTGTGGGGGCATGTAATGGGGCCTTCAGCCCTCAGCAGGTCCTATGGAAAATGAAAGCTTCCAGAGCAAAGCGTCTCCACCAACAGGCTTCCTTCCTTCCTTCCCTTCCTTCCACCTACCCTACAGTGACCTGAGAACCTCTCTGTTCAGACTTACTTCAAAGTGGTACTTCAGGAAGTTGTAGGGTTTCCGAAAGTACTTCTCATCCTCTCCATAGTAGAGATGCTCACAGGCGGGGTCGTATCGAAGTTCCCTCCATTCCCCGTTGTATACAGTCTCACACTGGCCCCCATAATATGTGGCATCATACACACTCTGGGTTTCTTCCTGGGTCAGGATATTGTACCTAAATTGAAAATATTGCTTCTGGGAGAGAGCATTGGAAATGCAAAAGTAGCATGAAATGTCACCTTTTTTGAAGATGTTGTAATTTGTTCAAGTAGTAGTTTCTTCTTCTGTAGCCCTAGTCTTCCTCCAAGTAGCTTGCAGGCCACTTGAGGTAACACTGGGAGACTGAGTAGGATGGGCTAGGCCTCCAGATTCCCTTCAACCGGTGCATCCAGACAGCCCTATTTAGCATCTAGAATAGTGCTCCACATAGGGGGCACCCCTAAACATCTGTTGAGTATGTTAGAGAAGAATATGCACCATTATCATGAGTCCAAGTACAGGAGCCAGACAGTCTGGGTTCATTTCCCATCTCTGCCACAACTGGCTGCTAGACCTCAGGCAAATAATTTAACCTCTCTGTGCCCTAGTTTAGTCATTTGTGAAAAACAGCTAATAATGGTACCACTCTCATAGAGTTAAGACATGTAAAAGAATCATAACTGTGCTCGGTCAATATTAAGTACTGAATAAAGGTTACTGCTGTTGTTGTTGTTAGTATTATATCACAAAGGGTTCTGCTGATAAAAAAAAAATAACTTTGAAATATTGGGTGTAACTCATAGTGCCACATTGGAGACTCTTATCCTCAGAAAGGGCATTGTCTTCAAGACAGGATAAAACATCAAAGGGCATGCAGTTTAAAAGTCAGTTAAGACGGCTGTTTAATTTCCAGCTCTATCACTTACTAACTGTGTGACTTTGAACACATTCTAGAAGCTCTCTGAGGTTCATTTTCCCTATTTAAAGAACAGACATAATAATACCTATCTCTCATGGTTTTTGTGACGTTTAAATGAGAGTATTAAAATAAAACAGAAGTCAAGGCATGCAACAAATGATCCTTACTTTTCCCTACCCAAACTCTTCCAGAAATATTGCCCTGTACTTCCCTCTCTGGCATATTTAAAATCTATCTGCCCACATTTCATGTTTTAGGACATGGATAGTTTTACCATATTTAAGCAAAATAATGTCAAGTGGGTGAAATATAGCTTTCATTTTCTAAAAGGGAAAGCTAACAGAAAACATTAGAGTTGGGTAAGAGTTCTAAGCCCTGACAATCAAAGCCTCTTATGTTACAGACAATAATATGATTGCTTGTCTTTGTCTCTCAAACCCCTAATAGCCTTTCAGAGTCAACGCAAACATCACCTCCTGTCTACGGCCTTTGAATGTTCGGGACAGACCGTAGTTTCCTTTTCTATCTCCCATGGGATTTGGGAACTACCAGTGGCAAAGCACTGGCCATGATTGTTTATGCCATCTGTGAAAGGTCACCAAGGTAGAAAAGGGGCAGAAAACAAACTGTGAATAAAACCCACCTCAACAGAGTACATAGGTAATTATAAAGCATCTGGCAGATTGTAGAAATTCAATGTATGCTAACTTCCTTCTTCTCTTCCTTTCTCCATCTCTTTCTTCATATTAGTGGAAATGATATAATAATAGCTCTGATGAATTGAATACACTAGACATTTAGCATATATTAGCTTTCAACCTCATGACAATTTTGCAAATGCAGAAATTGAGGCTCAGAAAAATTAAGTAACTTGCTATAGTCACAGCTGGATTTTTTCCTAGATTTTCTTGACAGTGCTTGTTTCCTTCCCTTTACTTCCCCTGAAGTTTCTGTCTTCCCACTCACTGAGCACACTTCTGCCTGTAGCTTATACATATGGCTTCTCTTACAGGCCAAACGAAAAACTCAGAGAAACAGTAAGCCCTAACCTCTAACCACAAATAAAACCTATGTATATTTGGGAAAGCTGGTTGCAAAATCCCCTTGAAAATGAAAAGGCATAGTCAGAGAAGCTCTAATAAAGGTATAGTCAGAGGAGCTCTAATATTTGGAAATCTACTAAGCAGAAGTATTAACACATGTGTACAAGAACATATGAACAAGAATGTTCACTTCAGTATTGTTTATAGGAGGAAAAAATGGGAAGGAAACGAATTATCTTTCAATGAAAAGTAGGCAGATAAGTTATTATATAGCTAAACTATAAAAAAGGAGTTGGCAAACTTAAAAAAAAAAGGACTAGATAGTAAATATTTTCAACTTTGTAAGCCCATTTTTTTTTTTACTGTATCACACTATAGCCCTGGTTATATAAGCACCTACAAAGCAGAGCAGATTGTAAGCAGGGCTATTGAAAAGAACACTTGGATCAGAGAAGAGCTTTCTTTCTGAGCCATCAGGGAAGGCTTCATGGAAGATGCGGCTTCATAGGCCTTGGAGATGGCACTGGAGTGAGAAGAGATGAGCAGCAGAGGGGAGAGGTCTGAAAGGATAGGAAGAGCCTCAAGCAGAGACATAGAAGGAGAATGTGGGCAGTGTCACATAGGCAGAACTTTGTGAGCCTCCTTAGGGGACAGTAAGATCTGCTCACAGGATGCACTTCAGAGGAGCCCACCAACATGGCCCTCTTGTGACTCCGTAACTAATGCTCATTATTGAAGCGAAATCATTTTCTGCTCTAGGGCAGCCAGCAGGAAGGGACTCACCCCATGGCTGCCCTCTCTGATCCTGGAATCGGTTCGTACTGGCTGCAGTCGTCATCAACAGCCCTGACCTCTTCACAGTCATCCTCATCAGAGCCATCAAGGCAGTCCCGGTCTCCATTACACACGAGGTGGCGTTTCAGGCAGCGACCTGAGAGAGGAGAGGCTGTGGCTTCTTCCTGGACTCCCCTCTCCCTTTTGACTCAGATCTTTCCATCTCTGAAACAACCCTTTACCCTCCCTCTGTCCTTACTACCCCTGCCCTCCTTCCAGCCTAGTGAGCTTCCACCTGTAGTCCCCCAGCTCAGGCCCTGGCCAAGGCTCTCCCTCTCTAATCCAGCCTCCACATTGCAGCCTCCAGAAATCTTTCTGAAATGCCGGTCTTGTCATGTTATCCACCTGTTCAGTTCTTCCAAATGCCTGGTTCCTGGTTACTTGCCTGGCTCCTGCTACCTCAATGTCCCATCACCTGCTTCTCTTCCCAAAGCCCAGGTGCTTCAGTATTCTGAGTTACTAGGGAATCACTAATCCCCATGCTTTTGCATGTTCTTTCTCCCAGAAAGTTCTATTTTAATTTCCAAGTCTCCACTCAAGTACTATTTCGGAGCCTGCCCAGAGTCCCCAAAGCAAATTTGGGTACTTCCTGTTAGACAGTTCCACTGGGCCAGGTATATATACCCATTAGAACGACCATCACATGATTTTGCCATAGACTCCTCATAGGTCTTTCTCCTAAACATACTCAAGGTCATACTCTCCTAAACATATTCAAGGTGTATTATTTTTCACTTCTATATTAACAGCAAATAGAACACTGCCTGGCACATAGTATGTGCCCAACAATATTTGAGTAGATGAATGAATTCTACCATTTCTAAATGAACTACCTGATGTTCCTACAAAATTGAATCAGAATTACTTGGACTGCTGGTGTGGCTTAAAATACAAATTTCTGGGCCCCATTTCAAACCTACAGAATGGCAACCTCTAGGCATAGGGTTCAGGAGTCTGCATTTTAACAAGTTCCTGGGGAAGGGTTTTCCATATTACAGCTGGCAGGCACAGCTGTTATCCCACTAGAATGCTGCTCACCTGTCTCCTTACACTGGAAGTCCTGTCCACATTGTGTTTGGTTTAGACAAGGTGTGAGACTGGAGCAGCTGGCTTGATCCCAGACATCACCACTGCAGATGGTTCCCCCAAACTTGTTTGGCTGCAAGAGTCTCCGGTATCGGTACTAAAACAGATTTTGAATCAGACACATTCTTTTCAATCAGTCAACCAAGATTTGGGCAAGCAGGTCTCAATACAACATAAAAATTGACTACCTAATGATTGAGAACTGCCTGCAAAGTTGTCTTTTGAGGGAGTGAATGTACATGTACAGTGGTGTGTGACCAGGCGTGGCACAGTCACCAGTTAGGACATTGAATAGGGTCACTAAGAATCAGATGAAAGGTTTGGACAAGATACTTCTAGAGTCTGCTACTTAAAGGAAGAACCTCTGCTTCCCCTTCTTTCACCAGTTAAATTTCTATTCGTCCTTCAAGAGTCATGGTTTACCTTCTCTGGAAAACCTTCCCTAAGTAACATTCTGCAGGTTCCTTGCCTCCCTCTCTCCTAGCACTTGCCTATAAGGTTGGGATTAAATATCTGCTTATTTGTTTATCCCCCATGAGTCTGTGAGCAATTTGCATATGGGGTGAGAGAAGTGAAGGGAAAACCATGCCTTCTTTGGCTTCATACACTTGGCACTTGATCCATGGTTAGATAAACAGGAGACACTTTTCGAAGACATTTGTTGTTTTTTCTTTGCAGCATTTCATCTAGTCCTGGAATCCTCACTCCCCGCTTTCCTTGGGATATATCTCCTATGGTCCAGAAGGGTATGACCTCATCCCCTGAGTCACAGGGGTATGTGGCTATGAACCAGGCCCAGCTGAGCACCTCTTCTTAGCTGCAATGAGTGTTTCAGGGATTGGCACATGATCTAACCCAAGTCAATCACAGTCTTCTCTGGGAATTTTCTTTCAGGAAAAAAGACATTTTTTTACTGGAATTGTTGAAAATTGTGGGCATCGAGTTGTCACCTTGCCTATTATATAGGAAGAGTCCATCTACAGATAGACAAAGAGAGCTCTGAAGACATCATCTGAGTTCCTGGGTCCAGCCTTGACTGCAGGCAAAGACACTTGTTGACAGAAGAAAGAAAAGTATTAAAATGCATACCCATCTTGGGGCTTTTGGGTTTCATGATAATATTTTCTATATAGCACACAGAATCAGGCACTAGTGTAGAAGGAGGAAGCTGGAGACTAGGATATTCAATGACATACAAGGTCCTATTCATGCTTTCAGGAAGCTTAGAATCTAGTTGAGGTGATAAAATGCATAATAATACTGCTGGGTGCAGTGGCCCAGGCTTGTAATTCCAGTACTTTGGAAGGCTGAGGGAGGAGGATTACTTGAGCCAGGGAAACATAGAAAGATTTCACCTCTACAAAAAATACAAAAATTATCCAGTCATGGTAGCGAGTGTCTGTAGTGCCAACTACTTGGGAAGCCGAGATGAAGGATTGCCTAGCCCAGGAAGGAGGTCAAGGATGTGGTGATCCGTGAATGTGCCACTGCACTCCAGTCTGGGTGACATAGTCAAACCCTGACTAAAAAAAGAAAAGTGTATAATATTACAAGCCACTAAATGCATATGGTACAAAGAGCATCCACAGAGAGTGTCTAATAAGGGGATGTGTAGCTCTGTCTTTCCTGCCACCTCTTTCCCTGGCTCAGCCCACAGGCTCTTCCTTCAAGAACATTGTTTTGTAAATAGAAAAGCAATGATTTGTGCAGCAAGAGAAGTGAGTTCCTGAATTCAGTTCTTACTTGTTGTATGATGTATCAGTGCCTGGTACTTTGTGCCTCCGTTCCTAAATTTGTAAAATAAGGTGTGTAACCTAAATGCCATGACTAATTACATTACTAATGATTCTTTCACCTGTGTCCTACATTTGAAAGAGCATGGGCATGAGAATTAGACTGTGGGTTCAGATCCCACATTTGCTTAACAGCAAGCCACTGGCCTTTCCTGAGCTTCTGTCTTCTAGTGTGTGAAACGGGTGTGATGGCACCTTCCCTTGAAAGGATTGTGTGGACTCTCCATGAAGGAGTATAAGAAGAAGCGTCTAACCCTGTGCCTAGTATATCACTGGCGCTCAATAAGCAGAGGTGGTTTCTACATCGTTCTCATTACCCATGCAGTCTCTTACAGATGATTCCAGTGGGTGAGCTGTAGGGAAGTGCAGCTCACCTCTCCTCTTGCTCACCCCTGTCTACTAAACTGCTTATTAGTGAAGCAACAGAGGTATCAAAGAGAGGTGACGATCAAACCTGTTCATTTACCTGTCCTGCCTTTCAGTTAATAGCAGCAGTGAGAGATTTGTGAACTCTGTGGGCAAAGAGTATAATTAATGGTCGAATATCAGGATATTTTAATTTTCTACCCACACATTTGGCCCACAGCACAGCAAATGAAAGAGTAATCAGGCCAGGCACAGTGGTTCATTTCTGTAATCCCAGCATTCTAGGAGACAGGGACGAGAGGATTGCTTGAGTCCAGGAGTTCGAGAACAGCGTAAACAACATAGTGAAACCCTGTCTCTACAAAAACTCAAAAAATTAGCTGGGTATGGTGGTGCATGCCTGTCATCCCAGCTACTTGGGAGGCTGAGGTAGAAGGATTGCCTGAGCCCAGGAGGTCAAGGCTACAGTAAGGCCATGAACATGCAACCGAACTCCAGCCTGGGCAACAGAGTGAGACTCCAATTCAAAAAAGAAAAAAAAAGGAGTAATCAGAATACAAATGTACAATCAGTTCTCTTTCTTACTCTTTCAAAAGTCCCGTGGGTTTTTAAAGCCTGTAGTTACCAACATGATAGTGGTGATGGTCGCTACCATTTATTGAGTGCTTACTATTAGCCAAACACTTTTTATGTTTTTTTATCTTATTCAGTCTTCACAAGTTTTAGGTGAAGTGCTGTTAGAAATCCCATTTTGAGCTGGGTGAGAATTCTAGTTCTGTTACTTACTAGATACACATCACCTGGTACTTAATGTCTCTGATCTTCAGCTTCTTCATTTGTAAAATGAGATGTGCACTGCAAAGATTAGTAAGGATACATCTAAAGAAGTCAGCACTTTGCCTGGTTTCTACAATACACTCAATAATAATAGTTACCAACATCATCATCATTCTTGAATTCAGTTGTTGGGCTACTCCAGAAGGAATTGGATTAGTGACCACTAATGTCATTCATTCCTCTCTGGGCTGGTACAGGGGGAGGCAGTAAAGTGGAGTGGTCACCTACTCAGGCTTTTTGGAGTCAGATTGATCAAGTTTTAAATCTTGGCTCTGTCTTCCTTCCTTTCTTTTTTTTTTTTTTTAATGTTTCTTTTTCAGACTTTTTTTTTTTTTTGAGTCGGAGTCTCACTGTCACCCAGGCAGGAAGGCAGTGGCACTCTCACAGCCACCGCAGCCTTGTCCTGCTGGGCTCAGGTGATCCTTCTGCCTCAGCCATCCAAGTAGCTGTAACTACAGGCATGTGTTACCACACCCGGTTAATTTTTTTTTTTTTTTGATTGACTGTAGAGATGAGGTCTTGCCAAGTTGCCCAGGCTGGTCTCAAACCCTTGGGCTCAGGCAATTCTCTCATCTCGACCTCCCAAAGTGCTGGGATTACAGGCTTGAGCCACCACACCCGGCCTCAGCTCTGTCTTTCTTAATGGGTGACCTAAACAAAGTGGGTGATGATATCTAGCAATTGCATTTATAGTTGTCTGTGAAAGTCATACAAGACAATGGGTTTAAAGCATTAGCACAGTGCCTGGTTCATAGAAATGATCTAACAAATAGTGGCAATCAGTGCCATTGTCATCCTTTTTATGGTACCTATACTTAAAATGATGGTGCAAGCTGTAAGTTTCATTCCCATCTGTTCTCTATTTTCTAGGTTGCTGTCAAATAATGAAGACATTGTGTTGCAGGAAGGTTGGTGCCGATACTCCCTTGGGGGTGTCTCCGTCCTATTGCCTGTGGTTGGTATCATTAAGACATAATTTTCTTTTCTAGCTAGTAGATAATGTTTTTTTCCAGAAATGCACATCTTTGTTTGGGTGATTTTGAGAGGAAGAGACATATTAATAAAACAAAACTAGAGGGGTCTTTCACTTAAATAATTAATAGAATTTAATTATTTTAAGGATTACTTTTAAAAACACATATGTCTTTTTGAGTCACCAAGAAAGTAATTCCATTCTGACTTAAACTGTAAGGCATTCACTTGTGCTATCTGCTGTCTAAGCGGAAGCACTTGAGAAATTTTTATTTAGGATATATAATAGGTTGACTCATGACCAAGCAAAAGTATCCTAATCCATGGAACCTGGAAATGTTACTTTATTTGGAAAAAGAGCTTTTGCAGACATTATTAAGGTTTTTGAGAGGAGGGGATTACTCTGGATTATCTGGGTGGCCCTAAGTGCCATTTTGGGGTCCTTATAAGAAGGCAGAGGAAGATTTCAGGAAGACACACAGAAGAGGAGGAGACACTGTGACCAGGGAGACAGAAACTAGAGCAGTGTAGACATGAGTTAAAGATTGTCCACAGCCACCAGAAGCTGGCAAAGGCATAGAACAGATTCTCTCCTGGACCCTCTAAGAGGGAGTATGGCCCTGCTGATATCTTAATTTTGGACTTCTGGCCTCCAGAACTATGAGGGAATACATTTTTGTTCTTTTAAGTCACCAAATTTGTGGTGACTTCTTTCCACTGACACAGGAAATTGACACAGGATGTCAGAGCAAAATGAGCATTTGGATCCAGATACTTTTAAACAGGGGAAGTTCAGGATTCTTTGGCATTTCTCAGAGATGGGAGAGACAGAATAATAAATTTCAGGTTTTGAAGCTGAATGAACTAGGTCCAGGTTGTGTGTGTTTCCGCCACTTACTAGCTCTGTGATTTTGAACAGCTCATCTAAAACACTCACAGAGCACCTCCATGTGTAGCTGAGAGGTGGGTCTGGAGGAAAGATGACCATCCGCAGTCCCTGCAAGAGCTCAGGTAGGAAAAGTAGGGCTTGATTCAAGGCAGTGGGAGTAGGGTTAGAGAGGAGGGAGGCACAGAGAATTATTGGAAAAGCAGCTGACATGTCTTGAACACTTCCTCTGAGCCAGAGGCCATGAAAAGCGCTTTGTGTACATGACTTATCTATCGGTCATAATAACTCGAGAATGCAGGTACTGTTACGACTCCCATTTGTAGATAAGGAAACTGAGGCACAGAGAAGAATTTTTAAAATATGCCAAAAGTAAGACAGCAGATAAGTGCAAAGCCAGATCTAAATTGCAGAGCTGAAACTTAAACACTTAAACTTGGCAGTGATGTGCCAATAGCCAAGGTCCAGGCAGTGGTATACCAAGTACGGGAGGCAGCATCCAACACAGACACGTTTCTGAAGGAAATTTTCAAACAATGGTAGATGGTAGACTGTGTTTCAGTATCATCATGAGTCTGTGATTCTGAACAAATACTGTTAATATTCCTCCCTGCCAGAGCAGAGAACTCCCAATGTCCCCCTCCTTTCATATGCAATGTGTTTAAAGATACTTAGGGCTGTTCAGAACCATTTAGTTGGAGCCAAGTGGACATGCCTCTGTTCACTGGGTATGTCTGCCTTTTCAGTCCATGGAAGTGGGATTCCCAGGAACACCCTCGGTGGCAGTCCCTGGTTCATCTCAACTCCCCCTAGGCAGCTATGCCTTTTGCGACTCAGATCCCCTGGACAGCTTGGCATTTTGTTTCTAAGCCATTAGTTTCTGAGCCTCATTGAAGGGCAATAGATTGGTCTGGATGCAGAGAAGCCTAAGATGAATGTGCCCATGTCTAGATTGCCACTTTCTGCCTGTGAGTCATAGCCTCCACATCTTTTGCAGCCTTGCCCAATAACACCTTACAAACCAAATCAGGAAAAGCAGAAATAAGTTTCATCATTCACCTGCCCATGGCTTTCAAATACCTACCTCTAAACCCGATTTTTCCCCAGTCCCCTAGATCTAAAGCCCAGACTGCTTATCTTGAATGCCTAACACACGTCAAATATGAAATGTTCCAAAACTAGTTCTACATGTCTTACCTTTTTGTCCTGGCATGGAAAGCAGTCTGTCCACTCTGACCAGTTACTCAGCTGGCAGGTAACTGCTATGGGGGTAGCTGCCCGACGTACTCTCCTAAAGAGAGGAAAGACCCCTGCGTCAATTTTGAGATGCAAAATTTAAGCAAAACCAGTTGTGTGTGGTGGCTCATACTTGTAATCCCAGCATTTGGGAGGCTGAGGTGGGATCACTGAGCCCAAAAGTTGAAGACCAGTCTGGGAAACACAGTAGGAGGCCATCTCTATTAAAAAGAATAAAATAAGCTCCAAGTTGGCAACCCCCTTGGGTCTCTGCCCACTGTGGGAGTTTTTCTGTCTTTTCAATAAATCCTACTTACTCACCTAAAAATAAATAAATTAAATTAAATAAAAATTAAAAAGTAAGCTGGGCATAGTGGTGCACGCCTGTAGTCCTAGCTACTTGGGAGGCTGAGGCAGAAGGATCACTTGAGCCCTGGAGGTTGGGGCTCCCAGGGGAAGCCTGTGACTGGTGCCACTGCACCCCAGCCTGGGAGACAGAGTAAGATTGCTGGGGAAAAAAAGTTAAGCAAAAAAGAAAGTTGTGCACATTTTCCTTCCAGTAAAACATGGCTTGTAAGAACTGAGGAATGAGCATTTATTGTTCTCCTCTATATGGAGGTATAGTGCTAGAGGGTTTATAAAGATTATCCCTTTAATATTATATCAATCCCCCATGCATCAAACTATTATAATTTTAGAGAGATGAGTACTGAAGAGAACTAACAATTGTTGAAGAGCCAAAGAAACAGAAAGCTCGGAATATAAAGTCTGGGCTCGGATAATTGAATTTGGATGTTAACCAGATCCTGGCTTTGAAAACTCAAGCGAGGTCCTTGACATCTCTGAACTACAGCTTTTCCATCTGTAAAACTATGTTAAAAATAATATTACCTAATAGGGCTATCGAAACCATATTAAAATGCTGATGAAATGTTTACTATGGGCTGGCTTTTATTATTACATGCTGAGACATAACAGGATTGGCTATCTCATTTAATCCCTATAATAATCCTGGGAGATTAGCCCTACTTTAATATACAGTGTAAGAAAGCTGAGATTCCTAAAAGCTAAGTAACCCCTGACCCAAATTTCACAGAGGCAAAATTTGAACTAGTTGGCTTGATTTCAAAACCTACTTCCTGCACCTCACCATGATGACGTCTCATTTTGCAAATCAGTCAACAGAAATGAGAGAGCGGATCTCCAAGACCATGATTTTTTACCCCATGCCATCTTCTCACAGGTTAAAAAACTTAACCAGGGTGAGGGGCATGAGCCACAAGCTTGCCTGGCTCCAAGACTCAGCCTCTTCCCACAGCACTATCACTGCTGCTGCCATTTTGAAGCCAGGCTGGCCCACTGGGCAAAGTAGGAAGGATGCCTGTTACTGCCAGAACTGCCACAGCCTCTGAGAACCAGGCAACCGCCCCCCCACCAGTGTAGAAAAAAAGTGCTTCAAATCTCATGCTAATTATGCAACGAACTAGTTAAGAAAGCATGTTGAGATCTGCTTTTTTTATTTATATAAATCTGTAGGGTACAAGTGCAACTTTATTACATGCATAGTGGTCAAGTCAGGGCTTTTAGGGTATCCATCATGAGAAAACATTCTTTGTACCCATTAAGTAATTTCTCATCCACCCCCTTTCCAACCCCTCACCCTTCTAAGTCTCCCATCTTGATGAACTATGTTGAGGTTGAAACCTAGACAAGGAACCATGGAATAGTCAGAAAAATTATGTTCGTCTTTAAACCTGATTCTCAGACTTTTGATCTCAGGACCTCTTTGCACACTAACAAATTATTGAGGACCCCAAAGAGTCTTTAAGTTGGCCAGACCTATTGATCTCTACAGAATTTGAAATGAAAATAGAAATGTAAAAAAAATGAATTACTTTTTAAAAAATTAAAATAACAGGCTTACAACATGTTACCATAAATTTGCATTTTTGCAAATCCCTTAAATATCTGGTTTGGTAGAAAGCAACTAGAATCTTATTTCTGCTTCTTCATTCAATCTGTTGCTTTATGTTGTTTTGGTTGAAGTCTATGAAGAAAATCCAGCCTCATACAGTTATATAGTTGAAAAAAGAAGTATCTTAACAATTTTTTCAGAAAACTGTAGATATTATAGTTTGGCACTACATCAAAACTTGACAAGTGGTTATTTCTTATATGTTAGTTGCAGTGTGAAATCTGAAAGCATACCAATTAATTTTTTTGTTCTTTGTTACACTAAAATCCATTGTTCTATATACACTTTGAATGTCTCTTGTGTCCATATGTAATATTGATAACATCAGGTGTTAAAAATTTGGAAAACAATGGTTCATTGAGTATGTACATCTTACAAATACTAACTCATTTCACTATTTAATATAAAAAAATCAAACTTGTTAATATCACCAGTGATCTCATCAACTTCATGGTGGTGGATATAAGATTTTAATTTTCTCATGAAAGCTCAATCTTTGTTATTTGTAACAAATAAGATTGTTTTCCTTGAAGTGGTAGGCTGTCTGCATTTTTGAGACAACATATGCCAAATACCTAAGCCCAACTAATCACAGTTTGTCTAGTAGTCATTTTGTCAAGTAAAAATGATGCTCCAGGAAAAAAAGTGTTCTTATGAACCAAACGTTTATGTTCCCCCAAAATGTATATGTTGAAACCTAGCCCCAAGGTGATGGTGTTAGGAGGTGGGGTATTTGGGAAGTAATTAGGTCGTGAGAGTGGAGCCCTCATGAATGGGATTAGTGTCCTTATTAAAGTGATCACCACCGAGACCTCCCATTCCCCTCTACCACAAGAAGACACAGTCACCAGTGAACCAGGAAGCAGGGCCTCACCAGACACTGAATCTGCAAGTACCTTGATCTTGAACTTCCCAGCCTGTGAGAAATAAATGTCTGTTGCTTAAGCTACCCAGTCTTTGGTCATTTGTTATAGCAGCTCAAACTAAGACAAGTGGCTACTTTAATTTACAACTTAAGCAATTGACTTTCCTCAAGACAATCATTATAGTCTATCAGAACTTGTTTATGCATTCTTCCTATTTTGTCACTCAGAATATTTAAATCAGGTCTATTCAAGGATTGAGGTTTAATAAAATTAGTAATTCTTACTGCTTCAGGAAGGGCTTTTCTTAAGTAAAATTTAATTTTCTTTTTTTCTGTGAGCTTGGTGCCACTTGAGTCTCAACCAAGGCCCCAGGAGTTTATCCATCAGTGCTTCTATACCATCGGTGCAAATATAAGCACAATGAAAAGGGCAAATAATATCTTAATATTATTATGAAGATTGTTTTGAACTCACAGATCCCCTGAGAAAATCATGTGTGTTCCCTGGGGTCTGTAGACCATATGTTGAGGAACTCTGATCTATAAGATGATGCCAGCCTTCCCACTCCCTCAAACAAAACTCCCACTCCCTCAAACAAAACTATTCTTCTCCACCCCAATTTCTGTATCACTCTGGTAGACTCATCATCCCTATAAATGAGCCATTCAACACTCTGCCCTCTCAATTGCTCCTTTTCCTTATCTCTAATTATATTTTCTTCACTTGTCTATCTTCTATGGTCACATTCTTGACATTTGAACTCTTTGATACAGCTCTTCCTCCAAATCATCAATTCATGAGTCACCTGCAAATAGTTACTTGGAGGCTCTATAGCTTCTTCTCCTTCTATCTTATACACTCAAGGATTCTCACTGCACTTTTTCTTGAACCTCACTAGGGCCTTTATTATCTTGACATCTCAGCTTCTTTCCCATCAGTAAGACTCCCATCTTTATTTCCCTTTATAACCAGTTTTGATTCCATGACCCATCATTTTAAAATCTTGCCTATATCCTAAACTCCTAGACCCCATTGTTCTCCCAATGGAACCTACCTGTAAAACCCAACCTTGAATGAATTCAACTACCTATCCCTTTACCTTGGTTAACTCCTAGGTATCTTTTTAACTCACCATAAACATTAGTTCCTTAGGGAGACATTTCCCTATACATAGACTTGTTACATACCTCCTTTCATATGATTTGGCCAATCTCTGCACATCTCAACACTCAATTACCATACTTGCAATATGTGTATAATTTCTTCCCCACCAAATTCTAAGCTCTATGAATACAAGTACTATTTATATTTGCTACTGAGCTCAGAAAATACCTATGAAAGGAAGAAAGGAAGGGATAGAGGGAAGAAGGAAGGAAAGAAGGGAAGGGGGGGGGGAAGTGATGCCAATTTCTGGGAAATGGGCAGCGGCATTGTTGGGACATTTATTTGAACATGATTCTCAATTAGAATCTAAATTAAATTAGATCTTGGTATCTAGAAATTCAAATGACTCAATGTTTAGTCCCCATGTCACTTTTCTGATAGGTTGTCCTAATGATAAAAGTTTGAAATGTAGGAATATGGAGAAAAAGAAGGGGAGAGAGAAGGCACGGGGCGAAGATTTGGGAACAGGAAAGGACTCTACCCTTAGTTCTGCATCTCACTATAGAATTGTCAAGGTAATGTCATTGTAAGTCCACAGAGACTGCATTATGATGTCAAACTGGAAAGAAACCGTATTAATGGATGCATGCAAAAGCCTAGACAGAGCAGGTTGTGCTGCAGTAGTTTTAAAAGCTTTGTGACATGATGTCTAGACAGAGGCACACACACTAATGCCATCACTGAGGCCAGAGTACAAAGGTACACCAAGACCATTCATTAAGTCATTATGGGGCTCCAACCTTTTAGCCAATATCAACGTAACCAACATTTTCTCTTATCATGTCAATGAATTTTGTAATGTACTTCATTTTGGGTGATTATAAAAGTAATACATTCTCATTAAAGAGAACATAGGAAAGATTTTAAGGGAAAAACTTGTCCCAAATTTTATCACCATTACTATTTTGTTATATTTCTTCCATTCTTTATTTTCATAACATATTGAGGTCATACATCAAGTACTACATTTTATATCTTGATTCTTCCACTTAATAGTAGAGCAGAAACAAACTATTTATGGTAGTACACATTGTTCCACTCCCCTAATAT